AAAAAAAAAAATAAACCACGTTATTTATTTGTTATATTGTTAACCAGGTTGGTTAACCAAGATTTACAACCAGATTTTACAAATTGTCGTGTATAAAATTTTATTCATAGATTTTGCAAATAGTTGTTCATACATTTTTATTTAAATATAATAGTCATGTATGTTCTGGCACTGTACCTCTCAAGTAAGCATATTCTACATTATAAATACTGCTTTGAAAACATGTTTGCCACAATGAACATTTTTTACTTGTTTGTTACATTAATATCGACGGCATTACCACGCCACATTTTACTATTCAACCTAGAAGGAAATATATCATGTAATTATTTTTTTCTCTATATCAGAGTGAGATAGATTGAGTTCCCATATACTTTGCGACTACAGAATATAGTTCATGTTGCATATACTATAGGTTTTCTGTTCTAGAAGTGTATATCGAAACATATCTATATTCAAAAGCTGTGCTATATATAATTTGTCCTTACACCATCACGGACATGTATACATATTCACGCATACTATTACATAGGACGCGCGAATGCATGACAGGAAGGTTGGGTCCAGCTGACAGCACTAAAGTGCATCTCAGATCCACTTTCCTGGTATCTACCCGGATAGAAATTATGCTTCACAGACGTTACGTTTGGCGACCAAACAATTTTTTACTCGTTCCTTGCATTATTATCGAGGTTGGTACAGAGCCTGATTTTAATAATGTTGAAAAAAATTATAATAACTTACAATAATGTTGAAAAAAATTATAATAACTTACACTTGGCGTGCCTTTTTTAATATTACATCGATAATTAATATAACATTTTAAGAATTATTGAAATAAGAGAACCGTTTGCTTATAAAAAAAGGCATGCCAAGTGCTTTTTGTGTAAGTTATTATAATTTTTTTCAACATTATTGAAAGTTATTATAATTATTTTTCAACATTATTAATATCATTACTTTTGTAGAGAGTATAAAATTGTCTCGTATTTTTCAATAGAGTATTTGCGAGAATACAATTGATCTGAATAAGGTTGTTTTAATAATATTTTTTAAAATATCTTTTAACTGAGCTTTTGTTGTGATTTATTTATAACCATTTTTTTTTTTTGTAAAGTAATGCTAACGCGCGTGCAATTGGCTTTTTTCATATTTTTTCTTTCTACACGATAGAATGAGAAAGCACTAGGGGCAAATCAATTTTCTCACTTTGTTTTAAACTGCCAACTTCCGGGTTCACTTTGGCTTGGTTTACATCGTGCACTTGATATGCGTACTAAATAGTAACTTTCTATTAGATAATCTTAATATCGACGATACATATAAACAACGGTATAGCTGGAATACTCATCAAAAAAACGTATTGTATTGATTAAACGCGTCGCCGTTGATATGCATTGTCAATATTAAGATTATCTAATATAAAGTTACTATTTAGTACGCATATCAAGTGCACGATGTAAACCAGGCCATTGGATGCGATCCAATAACTGCTACAAATGCTGCACAGCGTTTCTCCCTCTTGTTCTATTCTTCGGATTCCAATGAAAAAAGAGAAAGAAGTAAAGACGCTACAAAGCATTTGCAGCGCCCGCTGGACCGTACCCCTAGTTTAGTACGCACGATCAATTGCACGATGTAAGGGTGCGTTCAGATTCCCTACCCGGGTGCACTCTATTACTAGAAACACTATAGTATGTGTTACATATACTATAGCACTTCTAGTATTAGAGTGCACCCGGGTAGGGAATCTGAACGTACCCTAAACCAGGGCTATATCTATGGATCTGAAACCATAGGCCTGGTTTACATCGTGCACTTGATACGCGTACTAAATAGTAACTTTCTATTAGATAATCTTAATATCGACAATGCATATCAATAGCGACGCATTCTATCAATACAATACGTTTTGTTGATGAGTATTATATTATCTTTATATACCGTTGTTTATATATATCGTCGATATTAAAATTATCTAGTAGAAAGTTACTATTTAATACGCGTATCAAGTGCACGATGTAAACCAAGTTGAGAGTGAGTGGGTGCTTTCCAATTGCTTAACACATCTTGACACACACGTACATAAAACCAGTTTATTGGTCACATATTATTTAAAATATCTTGTAAGATAATATGCAACCAATAAACTGATTTTGTGTAATACGGTAGGTTTGTCGAGTTGCTTGTACTATTCACACTTTTACACCTAATGCTCGTTGCACACTAGTGCACCTCGTACAATACAAATTTTCCAAAATACGTTCTGAAGACGCTTTTAAGACGAAGGGATGTCATCAGAATATTTTTAGGACGTTCTTTGAAGATGTGAGCTGAAAATAGTTAATATCCAATAAGTTTATTCGCATTAATAGAACTTTTTACACTTAATGCACATTAAAGCCAGCGGCACACGGTGCTTGTTTTCGTGCTAAATTGCTTGCTGGATGGAAATATTCTGTTTTGATTGGTGTATTTCCATCCATCTTCAAAAATGCACCAATCAGCAAGCAATCCAGCATAAAAACAAGCATCGTATGCCGCTGGCTTTATTCTTTAGAGGTTCTAAAAATGACGTCACGATTTCTGTTCGTGTTACGAGTGTAAATGCAATTCTGATACACTTTTTACACTTGATCCCAAGCAAAAGTGAAAAGTGTGTCAGAATTGCATTTATATTCGTACACGAACGGAAAACATGACGCCATTTTTAGAATCTCTAAAGAATTAAACCAGCGGCATACGGTGCTTGTTTCGTGCTGGATTACTTGTTGGATGGAAGTATGATCTATATCTGTTTTGATTGGTGTATTTCCATCCATGTTCAGAAATGCACCAATCAGGAAGCAATCCAGCATGAAAACAAACTCTGTGTGCCGCTGGCTTAAGTGGGAAAGTGTAAAAAGTTCAATTAATGTAAATAAACTTATTGGATATTAGTTATTTTCAGACAATTCACACCTTTAAAGGACGTTCTAAGAATATTCTGATGACATCTCTCTGTTTTGAAAACGTCTTCAGAATGTATTTTGGAAAATTTGTGTTTTGTTGAAGTGCACTAGTGTGCAACGGGCATTAGGTGTACGGGCCCTTGCAGAATGCCAGGCAACAGGCAATAGGAACAGGGAATAGGAATTCGGATTGGTCAATTATTTCTATTTCCTGTTCCCATTGGCTAATGCCTATTTCTATTGCCTGTAGCCTGGCATTCTGCAAGAGCCCGAAAAGTGTGAAAAGTATAAGCAACTCGACAAACTAGTAGTGTACGCAACTGGAAAGCACCCAGTGTATATTTCTTTTTTATGGCTGGAAAGTGTAACAATGTATCAAGTGCTATACAAATTATATTTGTCATAAAATCTGTTATAAAAGAGGTAAAATTAATATTATTATTGTTTCTTCAAATAATTTACAATCAGTGCATAGGAACGACCGATGAACGAAAAATCACGACTTAACTTCTCTCAAATTCCTCCGTAATGTCACATTTCTTACATCAACAGGGTTAAATATCTACCAAATAAAATCTTTTCATTACTTTCCCTGCAAATCAAATGTCTGAGATAAAGTTAATAAATGGCATAGTTGCCTTCAACAAAAAAGAATACAATCATTACCTGATGCATCTTTCGTCAGAAAAAGAATGGCCGGGTATTAACATCAATGTTGGTAAAGTATTTAATTTTCTTTTAGATACGATTTGTAGACTAGTACAACGTCCATTATAATAAAACTAATCTCAAAAAGTTGTTTTAGATTCACGTGTCACACTTAACATTCCAATGCTCATTATGGAGTTATATCGATTAGTACCTTACAAAGAAGACCGTTATGTGCATTTCCATCCGTTCAATATGCCTTATATTAAAGTACGTAAAATTGATCTAATTGGTATAGTTACAAATATTAGACGCCATGCCAATAATCTATCTTTAACAAGTAAGACAAAATGCAGAACAATAAATTTATTAATGAAGAATAGCTAATGAAACTAAACTAAAATAATTTTATAGTTGAAGATGGAACAGGTGTGGTAGAAATTAATTACAAATTAGAGAAATATGCATTTCTGTTGAAACAACAAAAGGAGATTGATGAAAAGTATAGAGAACAAGCTAAAGATTTAAGAAAATATGAAACAAATGCTAACGATTGGCCAAAGAAATTGCGTGAGACACATCCAGAATTTTCTTATACAGAAAATGCTTGTCTTCAAAATAGATCTGTAAGTGGTAATTATTCTTAATTATGTATATATCAATATATGTAACAAAATGAAAATAATTGTCCTAATAGATTCTAGAGAATAAATGGTTGTCAGCGACAAACAATGATTTATTGGGTAAAGAGGTTCAATTGTTTGATTATGTATACATCAATGGATATCCCTGTCTTGACATAAGGTTTCAAACGACACCAGAAGAAATTACAACAGAATTTATGCAGCGTACAAGGTTGACAGTATATGCAATATCTGTTGCACGTATATCTGAAGAAACATACAATGAGAAGTTATCTATGTGGATGAACAAAACTATTTGCCAAAGATATACAAGGAAGTAGGAAAAAATTTGTTAACAATGTTAAAACCTACAAAATGTTATATTAAAAAGTTTGGACATTCAAGTGTTGCATTAAATATAAAACTGTATAAAATATTAAATATAATTATGTAAATAATGCTTTTTATTATCCAGGTAACTTGTATCTTGAAGTAAAACCCAAGTAAAAACACTTTGGAGCATAAGGCTTGTATTATTATATATACTTTTAACAGTGAAAAATTATTAGAAACGCATACATTTACAAAAGTTATCAATGAATTCATCGATAAAAATGTGTGTAACCAATATAGGTTGTAACTAAAAAAAATGCAGTTTCATAAAGACATTGAATATATTTCATTGTTGAGCTATATACATAACGTTAAAACATCAAGATATAAATTATAAAACTGATACTTTATTACACGCTGAATGTCAAGTATTGTACAGTTAAAAATATTCGATAGTATCATCCTTTTTCAATTGTGGAGGATTTACACTGCATTCGACGTACGATGTCCGATATCCAATAAATAATTTCTATCTTTAATGCTGACCAAACATATTTTCCACAATATCTTTTACTATATTTGTTATGATCGTTGAATGAAACTTTAATGCTGTCAAATACCACTTTAAATGCATTAGTATCTGTCTACAACCCATAGGCCGGTATTCATAGTCGAATTTTATTTTTAAGGCTGCCTTAAATTCATCTTTAGATACTCCGTAGCCAATGAAATGATCCGTTCATCATCTGAAGATAAATTTAAGACGGTCTTAAATATAGGCCTGTTCTTTGTAGCTGCACTACTGAACTAGTGCAATAAGTTAGAGTGAGAAAACGTATATTTGTTTCACTTCAATATATTGCACCAGTTCAGCAGTGCAACTACAAAGAACAGGCCTTATGAGATCTGACTATAGGTTTGTTCGAGTTGTACCATTCACACTTTTATACCTAATGCCCGTTGCACACTAGTGCACCTCATACAACACAAATTTTCCAAAATATGTTCTGAAGGACGGAGGGATGTTATCAGAATATTTTTAGGACGTCCTTTGAAGATGTGAGTTGTCTGAAAATAGCTAATATCCAATAAGTTTATTCGCAATAATTGAACTTTTTACACTTTCACAACTTAGTACACATTAATTCTTTAGAGATTCTAAAAATTACGTCATGATTTCCGTTCGTGTTAAGCTCGTATCAGACTACGGATTAAGATTGAGATTGAATTGAAAATTCAAGCCAATCAGAGCAAAATTCACTAAGTTCAAGTTTGGTGAACTTTGTTCTGATTGGCCAATTTTCAATTCAATCTCAATCTTAATCCGTAGTCTGATACGAGCTTAACACGAACGGAAAACATGACGCCATTTTTAAAACTTCTAATGGCTCCTGCACACAGGACGCGGTAATGCTTGCCGCGCAGCGGAAGTTTGCGCGACAGCCAATCAATATGCTGCTTTCCGTAATAATCTTCTAGCTCTTACGGAAAAACAACATATTGATTGGCTGTCTGGCGGACTTTCGCCGCGCGGCAAGCATTACCGCGTCCTGTGTGCAGGAGCCATAAAGAATTAATGTGCACTAAGTGTGAAAGTGTAAAAAGTTAAATTAATACAAATAAACTTATTGGATATTAGCAATTTTCGGACAATTCACATCTTCAAAGAACGTCCTAAGAATACTCTGATGACGTCCCTCCGTCCTAAAAATGTCTTCAGAATGTATTTTGGAAAATTTGTGTTGTTTGAGGTGCACTAGTATTCAACGAGCATTAGGTGCAAAAGTGTGCCACCAGTTTTAGGCTGGTGGCACACAAAAAAACTTAAGCAGTAAAACATAAGCAGTAAGCAAATTAACCAATCACAGTCATTGATACATTTTATGGTCCAAAAATTAACGACTGCGATTGGTCAATTTGTTTACTGCTTACGTCTTACTGCTTAAGTTTTTCTGTGTGCCACGGCCTTAAGAAATGTGAAATCGTGAATTAGTGAATTCGTAGATGCGCGCCATTTTCAAACTCCCAACTCATATTTGATATCAAGCTCTGCTCGAAATCTGCTCGCGCAGGTTTGGCTATCTGAGTAATTAATCACTGGCCAATATGTTACTGGCAGAGAGAATATATATTTTTTATAAGGATTGTTATATAAATTAAATATTAAATAAATTAAATATTCAATAAATGATATTAAATTTTAAATTTTGTGATATGCCTAGATAAATGTAATTCACTGTTGTGGCTTTATTCTTCGGATTGGGATCAATCTCTCATCGTCAACTGGAGAATGAAACCTATAGGAGACGATGAAAGCATGAAAAGGAGGATAGAATGAAGTTGAATGAAGACAATAACTAGACAATAACTAGACAAAGACTAGACAAATGTCAGATAAGTAGCTAATATTCTAAACCTATATAGTTATATATTATTAATGCATAAATTATATATATATATATATATATATATATATATATATATATATATATATATTATAATAACGGCGTAACTTTACGCCGAATAAAATGAGATTTGATTGGCTTAATTCTGACGACGCGACGCGTGACGCGCTAAGTGGGAACTCAGCCTTAGGGTACGTTCCCACTTAATGCGTCACGCGTCGTCCGTCGCGGACCAATCAAATCGTCCCATTTTATTGCCTATCTTTACACGAATAAAATGGAGCGATTTCATTGGTCCGCGATTGGTGGTACGAGCGTACCCTAACGCCCACCAGTGTACTAACAAGATAACCTGTAACCTATGAAAAGTCTCTTTGTCCACAAATCATACAAGCAACGAACACCAATCATGTTGAGCCGTCGTTTCTATCGCACGACAGTGTATGCGACGTGGCTCTAGTCTACCAAATTCACATGACGTCTCAAGATAAGAAACAGAGATAGAAATAGGTAGGTGATGAGAAAGAAAGACAAGGAAAGCAAGAAAGAGGGAAAGCGCGCAGCAGCGAGTGAAACTGACGGCACTGGACCGCAGACAAACGTGGGGTGGTGTGGGTGCGACAGTATCTCGTCGTCGTCTTCAATAATCTCAATCGCGACGGTGGGAAAGAGGAAGAGTGTACCGCAAGAAGAGGAATCGCGTCCGATAGAGTAGACTAGTCGTCACGTCGTCGTCGATGTCTTTATCGCATTGTCGTTGACGTCTGTCATTTCCTGCGCCTGGCTACAGCGGCTGGGCAAGGACGCGCACGGTAACCCCACACTTGACTGGACAAAAAAGCGCTAATCGGAGATACTCGACGGAGTAAAGGCGATTAACCAAACTAGCTAAACTACGACAACGGACCTATTACAATGAGCTTCCTATTGTAAGTATTCTTTCGCCTCATAACTTTCCCCGTCGTTGAACCATCGCTCGGTCGATCGATATGTCTCCTCAAGGAAGCATGAGGACATGCAGGATATTGGAGTCGTCTCGACCTTCTATGGGCAATTTCTTGTCGCTGACAGCTCGCGGCGAAGAATAACGACGGTATAGACGACTTTTCGTTCTGGCCAAAGGCAATCGCAGTTTCGTGCAATTTCTTTTTCTCGTTCCTTCCCCCATTTCTCTTTCTCTCGAAATCTAATCTAACAATCACACTATATATCGCTCATCGAGGACGATAAATTCAGGCCTAATAATGTCGTCACGATCGATCGATTGGAGATATAAATAGCGCGCTAGTCGGTGTAACATTTTTTTTTGCATTTCTCTTCTCGCGGAAACCACTGTGTTACTGTGAACATCACAATAACCATTCGACGACGCGCAGTCTATGAATCATCTGTCTCAATGATGACCGCACCTCGTTTCGCTTTTCCTTGTCGTCATCATTATCATCATTATCATCGCAAAGAGATTTTCGCGAATGTAATCGTAATTAACGCGATCGCGTCGCGTCACTCGCTCTTTCGCCTTGACGTTTGCGACAAGTAACGTTGCTCTCTCTCTCCTCCTCCATCTCTATATGTGTGTGTGTGTGTGTGTTGATCAGTGCAACAACGCGATCGTGATCAGCTGAGCGTCGCGCTTCGCAGAGCTCAGCCAGCGCGTTTCGAGATGCATTTTTTAAATTTCTTTCTCGAAACTGCGCCCTATCATGTTATAATATGCAAGCAAATGCCACATTTTTGAAAATAATACATCCTAATAATGCATTATGATGTTTCAATGACTTTTTTTGTTTTCTCAAGCGGAAGCAGGTCTTCCAAGACCTTCAAACCAAAGAAAAATATTCCAGAAGGTACTCATCAATATGACCTGATGAAACATGCAGCTGCCACACTTGGTTCTGGAAACTTGCGGCTCGCGGTTATGCTGCCCGAAGGAGAGGATCTGAACGAATGGGTGGCTGTTAATAGTGAGTTGAAATGCATTTGGTGTTTCATTTGACTTTTGATATAACTGCACGATAATAACTGAATCTGTATCTGTTCTAATTCTAATTTATGCGATTTCCAGCTGTCGATTTCTTCAATCAAATTAATATGCTGTACGGTACCATTACGGAATTTTGTACAGAGGAGAGCTGTCCCATCATGTCGGCTGGTCCAAAATACGAGTATCACTGGGCTGATGGTCATACGGTGAAGAAGCCGATCAAGTGTTCGGCACCTAAATATATAGATTATCTGATGACCTGGGTGCAGGATCAGTTGGATGACGAGACACTGTTTCCATCGAAAATCGGTAGTTATCTTGTCTCATGGCCTCTCACTGTTGTTGATTGAGCGGTTACGAGCGCTGATTGTTCTTTCTTGCAGGAGTTCCTTTCCCCAAAAATTTCCTGTCGATTGCAAAGACCATTCTGAAACGGTTATTCAGAGTATATGCCCACATCTATCATCAGCACTTCACCGAGGTTGTGCAACTTGGAGAGGAGGCGCACTTGAACACGTCATTCAAGCATTTTATATTCTTCGTTCAGGTATAAAACCGCATCTCTATTTCATTCAAAATTAGCGACAGTAACACTCGAATAAACAAGAAAATAAGAGGCGGAAGAGGGTAAAGATTATAAAATTCACTACGTATCGCGAATACACATTCTCAATCTAAATTTTTCAGAGTAGAATCCCACTCGAAGTAAATAAAAACACCATTATTTGTAAAGTCTTCGTACAAATGAATATTGTAATCAGAGTAAATTTTTTCCTATGAATGCATCAGGTACAGTTTTGAAACAAAAAGTTCTCTGAAATTTTTGCATATGAATCTTTGCATATAAAAGAACAAATGCCTGAGGTTTAGTTCGTTGTTATTTAAGTATTGCGGTTTTTTTTCAGTGTTATTCTTTTTTTATATATAAATTATATATCTTCCTCTCTTTCTCCGAAAGTTCCATTTCCCGTGAACGAATAAATAAAGAAATAAGCTCGACCATGCGATGCGTGACCTTTTTGCTGATAATTTCATCTGATATTGCATTACAGGAGTTTAATCTCATCGAAAGAAGGGAACTGGCACCGCTACAGGAATTAATAGAGAAACTGACGGCGAAAGACGCGCGATGAGATCCACCTCTTCCGAGCCACTCGCCGTCCCGAAATTTCTCCAAAGAATCTCAACCATGTTGTCTTCGCTAACTTCGCACCGTGTAATCGCATTATTTAACCGACCCATTAATCGCTACCACAGCAATCTGTCTCGATATAGGAAAACGGCAGCGAAGCGCATTGGCTGCCCGCCTCGTTTCGGGAACAGGCGACTGATATCGGGCGACCGCTTTCGTAACCTCATTTTGTTGGCGCGTATTAATGTATTCTATATAATTAGGACGCACATACACACAGCCATCGAAAACTGACCACCGAATCATGGTGAACGAGGATAACGGTGGTGATACTCTTCGTGAAACAACGTGTCTGACTTTGTAGCATTTGCTCGTTTTTGCTCGGTCGCGCTCCCAAGAATGTATCTTAAGCGGTCCAAGCACGTTCCGTAATTTATTGTGTCTGTTAGTACCGTTAGATGCAATAGAGGAAGAAATAGAGCGGGATAAATGAAAATCGAGTCGCTCGAGTGCGCGTCTCAGTACAAAGTATCGGTGCACGTGGAAAAAGAATGTTTCATAGAGATAGCGTTCCTTGTTCTTTTGCGCGCGAGTAAACGAAATCATGCGTGAGATGCTCGGTTTCATAGTTTCGTTATTATTACTATCGCTATTATTAGATGTAAAAAAAAATATGTCGCTATTATATATAGAGAGCACTGTCGTTTCATACGATATATCGTGGACGACGTTTGGTTATGATTTTACGTCTAGGAATAGTTTTAAAACGATGCTTTCCTATTGTTTCGGATTAGCGAATCGTATTTTTTATCGAACAAGAGCAGTAATTGTTGATTATACAGAACCGTTAAAAGAATAGAGTTGACGCAAGCTATTGCATTACCTTAAAGTATCGTCCTTTAGCCACTTGTAGACTTATTTATACGACTAGCATTTTTGTGAGTGTTTTGTCCCTTTGTAGAGAGAGAGAAAGAAAAATCGTCCTCGCTTCGAACCCCGGTTACGTCGTCTTACTGCAACACACTTCAGCGTTTCTTGTACTATTTATAAATTACGAAGAAAAAACGTCAGGGCAAGCTGTGCGTTTCGTAAAACACTAATTAGTCGTGATATTTATCTTTGGTGCCTAGTGTTTCATCATAACGAAACTATTTCATCTAGTACTGATCAAAGAAAGATTCCTATTCAATCGTACATAAAGTTTACATTCGTGTTATTTGACTTCTCATGATGTTTTATAACCGGTACTTGATTAAAAGTATTTGCGACTCCGTTTTTTAGGCGTTGTAAAACTGCACAAATTACATATACCATTAATCAATTAATCGACATCGCCGATTTTTCAACAAGACGACTTGTTCGTCGCGAATGTGTGAAGTAACTAAAGCACATATCAGATTAAGTAATAGAAATTGAGGATTACTGATTAAAGATCAGAATACGACAAATCAATTGATTCCTGTCAATGTCCAATTTGACTTCCAAGCTAATGTCACATCCTTTGGTTTGTTTTCAAATTTTGGAGTGAATATTTCAGCTCACTTCAAGTAACGAAACAAATTTAATTCCAATTTTTATTCTGTTCCGATCGAGTTTCAATCTTTAATCATCAATCCCCAATATCTTCAAAACCTTTATCTGATGTAAGAAGTCAAAGATCGTTCTAACATCATCCGCCTTGCGGCGGATTACTCGTTGATGCGCATATGTACGATAACAAAGTCATTAGAAAAGCTAAAAGTTTTGAAAGTCTTTGAAAAGGAAACGATATTTTTTTCATTGCAGTAAACGTGAAGAGTTCGATCACGCGAACTCCGTATACCAATAAGACGTGCGTGCGTGCGTGCGTGCGTGCGTGTGTGCGTGCATATGTGTGTGTGTGGGTATGTATTTTATTATAACAATACGATGAAGGTAATAATTAACGACGGCGACGTAAAAAGATGATAATATTGGTATCCTATTCACCGGGAAAGAGGTGGTGCATTTATACACTGAATAGAGACACAAGTCGTAGTGGCAACAACACAACTATAATGATAATGATGATACTAATATTGTACTCAGTACTTAAGAAAAAAGGCAATATTAAAAACGAATAGAAGCTCCTGCGTTCTTTTCAAAGATACTAACAACAGTCCCTGATCGCGACGAGTGACTGTCGTTCATCACTGCTTGTCATTCTCGACTACTGTTATGAGTAATTATTTTTGATCCCATATATACTCACAATTCAACGATGTCGTGACGCTAATTCACGTATTATTGCTGTACTCACTTGTGATGTTTAGATGCTTCTCCTTAGCTGTCTCTTATTTCCTGATACAACGTCTATTTTCCCTTTTTTCTCGAGCGACTTTCCGCAGCGCGTGTGCTTCGAAATACTGTATGTGTGTGTATATGTGTGTGTACGCGCGCGCGCGTATACGTTGTATGTCCAACACGGTCGTACGAACGCGATCACACGGCGATTAAAATTTCAGCGATTTGTTTCAGAATCATACTGAAATCGTTAGATTTTCTTAACAAAAGATTCGAAGAATCAACTTTTCGATGAAGAACCGAAAACTCACGAGAATAAATTCTCGAGTATTCGTTAATTCCGTATCTTTTTTTACAGACCTTTTTCTGATACAAATAATGTGAAAAAGAAACAAGAAAGTATTTTCGATCTTAAATGTTCTCTTTCTTTTTTTAGCATCTCGATGTCTTCTCGACAAGTTTCTGCTCGAATAATTAAGTTTAAACGACTGTACAAAGTAAAGGGAGACTGTAGGTTCGTAGAAATCGATTCGATGGACCTGAGCCGACCAATCGAGTAGCGAATGTGGTGCGAGATAACGACTTGAAGGCGCGTTTGCCTGAGCGATAGTCGCTCCTTTATTATCTCCTAAATCTTCGTGGTTTACTTTTGTTACGATCGTGTTGAGATGAGGTTGTATTTCTTGTGCGTTCGGGACGGCCTTTCGCGGAGAGTTCTAAGCGATCAACTGTCCGCTCGTCTGATAGTAAAGCTAGTGATATCTCTGTGCAATGTAAATAATATTTTTCACAATTATTAATGGGAAACCCGTGCGAGAATTGCGGTGCGGGACCGCAAACTGAAATGTTTATAGTCCTGAATATAATCTTGTAATCTTTCTGTAATAAATATCGTTTCGATTGTATTTTTCTTCTTTTCTCGCTGTGAAATTGAAAACGTAATAAATAATAATGAAGGGAGGAGAAAAAGGGGAGAAGTGTGAATGTGATATCGGAAAGAAGATCCATCCGACCGGTTGCGTTCAATATATAAAAGACACCCTTGACGTAGCGCGATAAAATAAATTCGCAACGATTCGGCTCTATATCAAGATATCAGCCCACGTTATAAGAGATATCTGATTCATTACAAGTATCGGAAGATTCGCTCACTTCAAATTGAAACATCGTCACGAACATTAAAGGAAGATCGGACAGACGTAAGTTGCCGTATCGTTGACCGTACAAAATTTATGCAACCCCCGCGCGGATTTGCTGTTTCACTTCCACTTAAACTGTGCATTCGCGATAAATGTCGCATATCGATAAATGTACCGAAAATCAATGAATATTTACCACCTCTCACCAGTCCATAACGGCCGCACAAAAAACGGAAATCACCTCTTGACTTTTGAACATTGAATATCACGGCGAAACGTAAAATATAAATAAATCATGTGTTGTGTGCAGAAAGATGAGAGAGTACGTTTGTCGAACAAAGAGCGTATTTCAACTATGAAAAGAATAAAATACTTTAGTGCGCGCATGTTTTAAAGATCTCGCTCAGAACTCCCACTCGTTACCTCAGGTTTGCTACCTCAGGCTTACTTCTTCTCCGAACCGATGCGGGTTAGTCATGGACAGTCGCAAACTGTGACGACCGCGTTCGAATGTGGCGCTCGCTCGACCGGAGGGAGGTTCGAATATCCCTAGTGAGTCTAATGAGTGAGGATCGACCGAAAGATCCGCAATGACTCAGTGATCTGACTTGTTCTTTCGAGGACTGGCGAGTTGCTTTTCGATCGAGGTACTGTCAAAATAGAGATTTTGTTCTGAATTTCTTAGGCTTTCAAAGCGTGCAAATTTAGATTTCCACGTAGCACCAAACTCTTAGGACACGCCGATATAATCGAATTGAAATCATCAGATAATTTATTGACATTAATACTTTCGGTAAATATGCTGTTTAGAGAATCGATATGATCTTGTCTGTTACATATATTATCAAGGACTCTTGAGTAATATTCAAAAGGTTTTAATCGTCGCTCATTGTTTATTAAAAAGTTATTAACAAAAGAATTTTTATAAATAGAACGTAATTTTTCGACATTGTGTGTCTCGAAATATTTAAAGAGTCAACACGTGTGTTATACGTGCTATGTACAGATATACTTACTACATTTCAATCCTTATTTCTCTGTTTTGATTTCTTCGTTTAAATGCATAAGATATTCTTACTTAGTATGATTTACTCAGTGTTATTATACTTAGTTACTGTCTCGTGGTGTAGTCAGTCAATTATTTGGATTTCAACAGAGTTTCATGAATTTCATGAAATGTATTTCGTGTGAGTTTCGTGAAATGTCTAGATATAGCTTCCGGAATGGAGCCGTGTCTTGAATCAGCGATATGCCGACGTTTCGCAAACGTTGCAGTTTGCATCATCAGGGCTGAGAACTCTGATACTTCGTGAAATGTATTTACATGTTTTCTACTTTCTTCAAGTAAGAGATAATTTTCCTGCAAAAATACTTTTCATCTAAAGTATCGCATCGTAGCAGTTAATGCAATTATTTGCGGTTAATGTTATTACATCTGTAAGATATACCGACGATAATGTCCTCGGTAATAAAGTCACGCTTTCAAAATGTCTTCGAAAGAGAAATTTGGAAAAAGGAAAGTAAAAGTAAAATCAAAACTACAAACGAGCAAATAAAGCAAGAATAAAGTCATACATTTGTAGAATGTAACGAAACGATAATATAATTGCAATGACTAAATTGACATGGCATTTGGTGGCGTTAAAATGATAAGAAATGAAAAACATCGACGTTATGCACGCGAGAATGCACGCATACGCATTTTTTGCATACGATACGAAGAAAACGTTTTGTTTGCTGTGCACAACTCGATTCGCACGTTTACTAACCGCCGCTAATCACGCGAATCCATGTGTCGTTTGTGTACTGTGATATCTTGAGTACGACAGACAGAGCATTTTAACTTCATTAAGTGCTTCGTCTTCAAGATGTCTAAAATACGTCTAAAAGAAAAAAGATATGAAATACATTTAATAAAAAATTAACACATTATATACAACTTTTATTCGTGCATACCTTCTTACGATACATACTTCTGCTGGAAGAAGAAGTAAAGAACACCTTGATCGTTTTCAGCGTCAATGGCCACATTGGGAACGTCACATCGAGAACTAAGAGCCGTTTCGTGCAAAAGGAAAACAGAGGAATTCTTGACAAGTTCTTGACAATTTGTGACAACGTTCACGACTAAAAGAACGATGCTAAGGCAAATTCGAAGAGACACACAAATGGTACAGGTTTGATTTACTAATACAATAATACGCGCGCTAGAATAACATGACAGAGAGAGAGAGAGAGAGAGAGAGAGAGAGAATATGTAAAAGCGGGGACAAGAGAGGACATGCAAGGTTTCCACTTGGAATTCTCGTCTCGTCGTTCGTTTTGAATAGTCGGTTGTACGCGCGCTATACGACCTAGAACTCAAAGAAGAAAAGAAACGAATGAGATTATCTATACGCGCGAGTCATCAAATCGATCATGATGTATTATCGTAAAATCGACTACATAACGAGCAATTTCTTCCACAACGGTAGTATTTTCGCTTCTGCTTCATGTTGATGTGCAATTACAACAAGATATTTTAATTGAAAGTTCTGTTTTAGATGTCCACGTTTGCAAAACACGTGTAAATAGATAAAAAAAATTATAGCCTAGAAAATTTATAGCCAAGAAGTTGTACAAAAATAAAAATTCCACGTAACATTCGATATTATGTGAAATTGCTAAATGACTTAAAGTTATCTATAACTATTATCGATCTACTTATTTTATCAATTGGCTATTGAACTTAATTATTTTGAATTTAGTTTAATTTACTTTCTCTGATCTCAGACACTTGTATGTATAATAAATTTGGATTAATCAACAGTATTATAACTTGTAATACAAGACGGTTTAATTAATTAAAAATATCGATGTGTATGTATATATCTCGATAAGTAGACGAATCCTAATTCGTATTTATAGATTACTATTTTGTTTAGGCGATTCGACATTATCCTTATATTGAATAAATTCACTCTGTGAGACAGAATTTATCCTATTAATGTTGAAGCTGAGAAATTCACTGTCAAAATCTTTCCAATAAGAAGGAAAAAAAACAGTACGAACAAATTTTAAGCAAAAGATCAATTGACATTATGGTAAACCCTCTCCCCCATTTGATTTCCTTCTAAATTTAATTTAATCATCATTTTCATATATTTATACACATATATATATATATATATATATATATATATATATATATATATATATATATATATATATATAGAG